ATTGCTTTCGGCTTCATTGCTATTGGAAGGTTGTAGTGAAGTGTATTTTTTGATGGAACGCTTAATATCTTTAATGCGGAAATTATTACAGAGAAGAGCAGAGGTAAGGTGTTTTAATTATGGCTTCAATAACTCTGACTGAGATACTTTTATGGCTCTGTAAACGAGAAAGTTGATAACCGATGATTTTTCGGTCACACAATGCATTAAGGTATCGGTCTGTGTGTGCATGTTTTCTGTAAACAGAAGGACCCAATGTTATGTCTGATTTTTTATTGATAAAAGTATCTAAGAATGGGAGATTATTATTAGTCAATGGCTTTCTTTCCAAAGGCTTCCATAAATTTCTTCGCGATGACCGGTGATAATGGAGAACCACCAGCTGTTCCGTACTTGATCTTAGAATAATTAATATCACAAATTTTCTATTATAATTGTTACATTACTAAACAAAACTCGCCTTTCAATTGTATTCAATTAAGGTGACGTTAAAAACTGAAATGCGAAATTTATCGAAATCTATCATTCCAATTTATCTGAACTTTACAATATAACCCTGCTGTTGTCCACCCATGTTAATGATTTAGAGAATATAGCTACTAATGACTGTAATTTAACTAATTTAATTGTATTTTCTGTATAAATAGTGTAAACGGTAAACATATAAACAAATAAGTTAGAACTACTGAGTAATATCAAAATCAAGTTTAGGTGTGAGTCGAATCCAACCCACACGACGTTGCGTTGTTTATGCATAGACTTCTCGCAAATTCGACTCCACGAGAGCTTTAAAAGCAGTAGCCGTTTGAACATGCCTGCCCAAGCAACCGATGTAGCTTTCCAGAAATACGCGCATGGCATTGTTTCGCAATTTAAAAAAAGTGTAAAATTCGTTTCCCGTCCCGGCTTCTATCATCAATCAGGCTTGCGAAAAATCTTTTGTATCTGTCTCCGTTAATAATCACTCAAACATGTCGAGCCGGGGGCTAAATCTTTGCGAAAAAGATGGCCGCGGGAAATTGTAACAATTTCGAACTCGCTGATGGTACGTAAATGTAACGGGAAATTTGAACATGATCGGACGGGTTGTTGCAAAAAATATTATTTTTTCAACAACTTGGAGAAAAAACTTATCGGTTGTTCTCGCAACTACTAAAATTTTTCAAATTAAATTATTCAAAACGCAGTTTGTAAAAGTTACAGAAAACTTTATTTTAATGGTGAAAATAATATTACTGTTGTCTACCAACAAAATTAAATTAAATTTAAATACAAATAAATAAATATTCGTTAAAAATAGCGCGTGTGACTGTCTATATGTACCCCACCGCCTACTAAAAAATATCTTAATACTAGTAAAATATAACATTTTGCTCCTTACGCTTGCTAGGTGCGACAGCCTCGAGTCTTTTTCTTTGTGACCCCGAATTTTAAAATCGGAACGTACCTTGAAATCACTCTGAATAGAGTCCTGCTACATACATATTATTTCTAGCAAGTAGATAAGCAAAGAGAGTTCTGGAGCAAGAAATATAACAAAAGTATAGTCGGTACGATTTGTGATGGCCTAGTCGGTCATAAAATTAAGACCGAAGGTGCCTCAGTACTTTACCTGCTTCCACTCGTATACTACCAATGGCAATACGCACCGATTTACCTGCCAGTGTTCTACTTTTGTCTATTACGCCCCGGTGTCGTACACTCAACAGACATACCATCAATTATCTGATAATTACAGTAGTTTCGCGGACTTCGAAAATGGTCCAAAATGGGATTTGTTAAAAATTGTCAAAAAAAACAATAAATGATGAAATAAGTGTTGAAATGGGTCATCAAGTTTTAAGATTACCTCATTACCATTGTATATTTAATGCCATAGAATTAGTTTGGGCTCGGTGCAAAATATTTTTTGATAAAAACATTATAAATGAGGAAGGGCACGATGATACTGCAGTAGTATCTGTTTGGAAGACATCTCTCCAGACAGAAAATTAGATCACACCTACAGAAAATATATTAAAGTAATACTGGGAACAAAAGAATACGCTTGATTTAACGGTACCACCACTTGTTATTAATGTAGACGAAAGATCATTTTTTGTTAGTAGCAGTTCTAATTTTGGCCCTGATGATGGAATCGTAAATATGGTTTACTTGTATATTTACTTTCGGAAAATTATTTTTTATACGGCATGATATATTTTTTTGAATTTTCCGATTTTTTTGGTATTGTTTTAATTTTTGTTGCATGGACAGAGTTTTCGCACAATTACCATCATTTTTTCATCTAGATTTACCTACGTACCTAAATATTCGCGTGTCACTAACGAACATCATGATTTATTATTACATAGAAAATCCATCTCTGACTATGGGCATACTAGTTCAAATAATAAATGCCAAGTACGACCGATTCTGTCTCTCTTAGTCCCAAGTAATATAATCGTGATCGTTAGTGACGATTGTCTTGCATTAATCAGATAAGAAAGTCACTTTGATAGCCCTAAGACACCTCTTTTTTGGAAGTTTATGGAAGTAGGATGGGGGTATATTAAAAAGTCTCTCTCGCTGGATGCAGTGGTCAACAGTTCATCTATGTATCTATGCCGTTCACCCCTAGTATACCTCTATATAAGTTGTGTCAGGGTGCTGAGCGCTTTGCTGCTGTTATATCTTCATAGTAAAGTAGCATATAATATCGTAATGGACATTGTCTATCACTACAAAAATTTTAAAAAATTAGCCAAAAGTAAAAACAACTCCGCCCATAACCTGAACGCACCCACCCTATACAAATGAAACAATCGGCTGGTATAAATAATTCAAGAACAAAACCTGACGCGTCGCCGAGTGAATACAAAACCAATTTGTACACGAATTTCATTCTCAAATCCGTGCGAATTTAAAATCGTTTAACAGGGGCCCCGTAGTGTCGTAAATCCTAAATCCGTTTTAAAGTGGGTGTACAAAGGACTTTGGCTCCCGAATTACTTTTGGTTTATCTTTATAACATGCCCTCATTTGTTTCCTGCCGCATCCGAGATGTTTAAATTACGCGCAAACATGGAGCAATTTTTTATTTTACGTCTTAAGAAAAAGTCGTTTTCCTGTAAGGCGTCTTTTTTACATCTGAAAGAAAAAAATTCATTGAAAAAGTAGATAGGTAAGTTTGATACTATCTGAAAAGAGAAAGAGAAATGAACTTCAACAGTCACTAGCGATATGTTTTGTGCTGAGATAACCGAGGCAATGAAGAAGAGCTTCTTTGTGTAGCTCGAAGGGGAGGTAAAAGTTTTATAACGAAATCTTCAGCGGTACACAAAAACTATATAGAAAAACAATAATAGAGAAATTAGAAAAAGTGGCGAAATTCTAAACATTTCTAATTGTTTCTGCACTTATATCAAGTTTCTTTCTAACATTCACAATTATAAGCAGTAGTTACTAATTATAATATATAATTAGTATTATCTAAGCAAACGTGAAAGAAAAAAAATCAGAGCACGTATTTTCGTCTTTCACGCCACTTATACAGATTGAAGTTTTCCTCCCTATACAACTTTACATTGCGGGTTTCGCCCGCACATACAAACTCAACCATCCCGACATTTTAGTCGGATAAATCTTCTTGTTTTTCTAATTAATAACTACATTATACGGTTATGAATTTAATTAAATTCCCCCAGCCGTTTTCAATCTCGCCACGCGGTGATTCATCATTATGCCACGTATAGTATAATGTTCATTATTTTGTGATCGCTATACCGGAAAGATTAAAAATGTGCCACTCTCCCGGGCTACGACAAAGTAAATTGCATTTTCTAGTTAGGCAGTTGTTTGACGCAATTAGAAAGTTGAACGTTTTAATTATTGCCATGGACACAAAAGAATCAACATTTCGGGTGGATAAAACGTCAACAGGAAATAGATTTTTTCGTTACAATTGTGACAAACTTTGTTAATTAATAATTTTAAAATCCAGAGAAGCAAATTTTTTATACATTGACGCGGAATATAATTTATTTAATGTATTTACAGTCTTCAAAGTTTGCATGATGTAAATGGAACTTACTCAAATTGAATAATGCTCAGCTCACAGAATGACGTCAATAAGTGCTCCGTTATTGCTATCCGCTTACGTCAAATGTCTAGAGCTAACGTTATAATCTAACATTAAAATGTCGTTACACATTTGTTTGTTTCTTGAATAAAACATTTTTTATAAACGTAATAATACCTACGTCTTTTTGACGTGATCGTGCTCACCGTTTAATGTAAAATAATTATCAATCAAATATTTCGCAATTTAAATATTAAAGCAAATAAAAAAAGTACTAATATAGTAAATACCAGGAGGAGCTTGGCAAAATTTTCAAAAAATATGCGAGTAGAGTCATCTGCAGTCAAAACTCCAAACTATTGAACCTGTTTCTAAACGTTTCTCTCATCGTATGCCCCAACATCATGCGGAAGGTGTAGTTCTAAACTTGCAGATGGCGCCAGTGGCGGTGACGGCACTGCGTACAAATTTAATCGATATGTTCTGCAGTATCACAAAATTGTAACCCCAAAATTTCCGCAGCACAGGTTCTGCTCTAATTTAACTTATTTTACACACACAATTTCCCCTCTTTATTCACAATTAATACGGATATATATTTTTTTATTGGAGTCAGGATATGTTTTCTCAAGATTGAGAATGAAGTTCGAGTTCATGCCGATTTGTTGTCCGCCATCTTGTATTTTAGAAAACAGGAAAATTTTGAATATAATCTTAATTTTCGATTGCTAAAATTACGATTTTATTTCGATCTTCGAAACGTGCAGCTCTCTTATTTCGAAGTTAGTTTAACTGGGCATATTACGAGTAAAATTGTTAGGATTACCGCTGACGCGACGAATAGGTCGCATTTTACAGAACTGATCAAATATATATACATATTGTGATTCCGTCTACGTGCCGAAGAAAGGCAAAAATAAAACGCATCAGAATTTGCCTACAGCTTTTAATATAAAATTGTATATTCGGGGTTAACAACTTTTTATCGGAAAACCTCTAAAAGAAAAACAAAACTCAGTCACAGGAATAATAAACATACCTCCACATTATACACCTTTTTACAGAATTATTTATCATCGTTTATTTAAAATTCTATATGAACAGTTTGACAACATAGAAAAATATTTATATCTATATTACAAAATCATTTGCCTTAATTAAAGATTCCAAGGCACCCTTTACATAATTAGAGCGTCCCGCGAAAATGCCGTCGCTCGCCGCCATCTTCAACTCGACATAACGAGAGAGACTGGCCCGAGTGGCCGTATTCGAGCTAGACGCAATCTTTATAAATAAAAATCGAGAAGGAAACGAGGATCCACGGTAGCTGAATATATTTTGGAAATTAAATATCCAAGCCAACAAGTTCTATCTAAAAGAGTCATCATCATTTGGCCACGTGGATTATAATCTAAACTATTTGCTAAAAGACCTTAACACCAAGACATTTATGTAATATTTACTTTTTAGCATTTTTATATACTAGAGTCGACGGGAAAACGAAAAATAAATCATCGGGTATTTGTGACTTGCCCAGCGAAACGCTCTCCACGTAGCACTCAAAATATTGTCACATTTATAGATTCCATTATAAAATAATTTTAATGCTTCATTTGGCCGGGCAAATCGAAACCTTAATGTTAGAATTAATGGCGAAATCTAAGTAACTAACAAGCGTTTTCAAAATTAGGGAAAGCGTTTGAGAGACGTGTAAAAATTGTGTGTGTGGTCAACGCAGTCGAATGGCAAAATAAAAATACTGATTAAAGAATGGTAAATCACAAGAAGATCACAAACAAACATCCAAATCAAAGACGTATAGAAAGAATTTTTTGTGTAATTTTTAGTCGCCCGCGAACGCTACAGGAAGACGTTTTGAAGTCGAATACAAAAATAGCCTCTTTGTTAATGTTGTTTTTTTAGGCCATATATCCGTAAGTGATCGCAAAGATCCATAAAAAAATCACTGCACCGTGACCAAAACGAATTTTCTCAAAAAGAAAAAACAGCGACAACAAGACAAAGAAAGGTCACTCGCTAGCTAATTTACTGCTGTAACAAATGAACACCCGCACCACCATCTATCCGCCCATAAACGAATTGACCGTTGACCAGAACGCCTCATTGAACTAGATACGTATAGTCCCGCAGTAAAAAGGTGCTGGTCGAAAACGAGAAGATGGCCGCTGGCGAGTGTTTATATACGTGAAACGTTGTTTTACGTTTTTTGATTTATACATACTTCATTTGAATGGTAAATTGTTTAAGTTCGGTTTCGTGCTTAATTACGCTCACGGATTAAACAGTTTCTAGACTGCTTAAATATATACCCTTGCAAAACAAGCCAATATGAAATTAGGAGAACGATTGACGTTATTTGTATATATTTTAGAAGCATTATATTTTTATTAAGGGGAAAAAACCTTAACCTTGATATTAGAGGGGGATCTGTCTTGTCCTCTTAATGCTATTCTTATTCACGTAGTGTTTTCAGTATCAAAAACTATAGTACCAAATTTTTAATTGGCCTTAATAGGTATTCCCAGAGGCGCCACGTCATAGAAAGCTCCGAATTCTTTAATACCATCTTTGATTTGCATTTTCTGAGCGCTCAGAAAACCGTTCCAATTAACGTTTAGATATATCAAATATTTCTTAAGTACATTCTATCCGAGAACGAAAATGATTGTAAACATTAAGTCACATACGGGTTATCATCATCGCATGCTGAATGTATAAAAAGTGTTTTTTTTTGTTTAGGATTAAATTTAATAATTAGACTTTCACGTTTAGGTCAAAATAGAATTCAAACGATTATTCTGAGTATCACAGAATCAACACTACATCTAATGGCTCGTATAAAATAGTCCTTAGAAATTGAGTATAAAGTACCATGAATTCAACTCTCTAGTCGTTCCGGCGTTAAAAGATCTCAATTCTCAGATCTAGTGGCTCATTGCTAAGACATGCCAGACGATGGTTCGTCGACGTCACTACCGACGTCACTCTGCGTACTCCTATTCGAGCTGATTTCAGTTCCAGATTCATTGTATTCAGTAAAACTGGCGTATTCCGTATTGTCGACGTTTTTCACAAACATCGGCTCGGTGTCCACCACTCTGCTGCTGTACCTCTGCTTCTCCGTGTCTTTGCTCACCACCGGTTGAGTCCTTTTTTCGTTTTCGTCGATACTCTTGTTCGACACCACTTTGCTCGTCTCCTTGGAATCGTTCTTCGGCTGACCGTCGACGTTGAGTTTCGCTATTCGATTCTTCACGATTTGCAAATGCTTGACGATGTATTCTTCCTCGGGGGCGAGACTGTGCGCTTCTTCCAGACATTTTTGGGCCTCCAGTAGTTTTCCGCGTTCAACATGCACCACGCAAAGGTTGTGAAGACCCTGGATATTTTCCGGCTCAAGCTCCAAGATTTTTCTGTAACACTAAACCAACACCTATTTTCATCATGCCATCGCAGAGTTTCGTCAAAAGTACAGGGAGAATTGCCCGAAAACACACAATATTATTGATTATTTTGAAGACAATTGGGTGGTCCCAAGATTCGATTTTCAAATCAAAAATTCCAACGAAGGTAATGATAAATGAAAGATTCGGCAAATAGATTAGTAGCAGGTAGTAAAAAATATAAAAATAACGCTTAATGCATTGGACACTATGATGTGTGAAACTTTGCTTTGCTTAAAATAATGAAAGCTATTTACTTTCTTAGTCCTTTGATCTACTTTTATTTGGTTGACAAGACAATAAGGAATGGCAATTTTTTTGCCACTTCTCCTGCCACAATTTCTCGGGAGAGCTCTTTCTTAACGGTACTCACATTTTCTGCGGCATCCAGATCCTTGATATTATTGATATAAATATCCCCCAACAAGATAAGTCCCTTCACGTGGTCCGGATGATACTTAACCAGTTGATTTAAGAAAGGCGCCGCCTCCAGAGGTCTCTGGTCGTCGGCCAGAAGCAACGCGAGATTAAATAGTGCACTCCTGAAGTCGGCCTTCAAGTGCACGGCCCTCCTGAACCAGTGTTCCGCCTCCTCGATGTCCTTTTCGTCCATCGCCAACATGCCCAAGTTAAAATGGACTCTCTCGTTGTTGGTGTCTTTAGCTAGCAATTTCAGCAACCTTTCGCGTGCCGTTTTTCGAAACTCTGCTCGTCCAAATTCCTGGAGCAGTATGGCGGAGTTGAGCAAGGCTTGTTCGTGTTCGGGATCAAACTCGAGAGCTTTGTCGAGGTAGGCCAGAGCTTGCGACGCTTTACCCTGTTCCAGGAATACTACGCCAAGCTGGAAATTAAGAAATCACAATTGTAAACTCTATTTTATGTAGTCACTCACTCCCTCCTCGAATGCGTAGACATTCGTTAATACATTCCTAGCAGTATACTGCCTTCATATTGAACTCATTAGTTGATTTCGAGATTTCTGTTCTATTCACATCCTTTAATTTAAATATTGGATATTTTTAAATAAATATCTAAATAATATTTCAATTAACTAGATTTTCCTTTATATTTCGCGAATATATTTGTGTTTTATATTGCAAACTATCAAATATTGTTGGCTAAGACATACGGATTATCTTTGATTACATCACTATACGTGACGTAATGGCACTACTCCCCCGACTGGAGTATACTTTTTCCATTGTTCATACTCTACAGATTTTCTTGAAAAACGATGTACATTAGAAATTTCAAATAACCAAAGTTCCGACAGAACTGGAGTTTGGTGGGAGACTTTGGGTACACCAGTAAAAAAGAAGGCTACAATTTATTCCTGACATATTTTTTGGATAAAGAAAGAAAGAAAAAATCAATTTGATTGTTTTTGTATATAATTTGACTGGATTACCATATTTAGGGCTATTTGTCTGAAGTTAAGTTATTATACCAAGTTGCCCCTTCCATGGGAGGAGTCGTAAGTGTTCGGAGAAGTAATAATTCAAACGGCGAGGCCCTCTATTTGTATAGTAATTACACGTTCGAAAAGCCGAGTTATTTTTCCCTTAGCAAACAAACTTAAAGCGTCAAAGCGGCGAAGTAAGTTCCATCGTAAAAGAAACCATTAATATTGTCGAAACTTGGTACACGCTAATTAAATTTGTTTTCGAAACTGGGCGTATAACCCGTTACGTTTTTTTTTTTCGTTCAAAGCGGATATAATAAAAAAAAAAACCTGCGGTTATTAAAAATGGACGACATCTCTAATTTCAACGTAATTGGGTATGCGGAAAGGCTTAGTTCGCGACGAAGCCCTCTGTGGTGCAAATTTCACTTAAGATACGTTAAACGTAGCGGTAAACTCTAATAATGGCGAAGGGTGCGTTTCGTCTATTATTTTGATGGGCAATTTAAAACGTGTTATGTAGATTTTCGGAGAAATTATAGAGCAGCCCAGGGCCGAGTTTTAATTAGACCCTTCGAATTTGAATGGGTAAATATAAAGAAACTAAGCTGCGATCTCCGGCAGCGTGGGTACAGAGTTTCCAGGAAAACGCCGGTAATATAAAACGGTGGACCAGGATTAATGGACAGAATAAGAAAAGTAATCAGTTGCGTATGCAAAAAAACGCACCGAAGACTGAACAAAATTAAGAGTTCCTCTTCGTCGGTGAAAGAGATAGGGTGGATCACATTGTGTGAAATATTAAACAGAGAGAACTACTAAAGGGGATTTTCAACAATTTTCTACAATAGGTGATTCTCATATTTTGCTCTATTTGAGAGCCCTCCAAATTGCTCCCTATATGATGGGCACTAAAATAGTGAGCGTATTTCATTTTTTAGGGGAGGACCAGGGGTAAACCGCAATGGAATGGCGGTGGACAGTATGAAGAAAGTGGAATTACACTGAATATTTTTGAAAGAAAAAATGATTTCTTTAAAACTAAAAATTACTTTCAAAATTTTCATTCAATTTGGAGTAAATTTCTCTTCTTTTTTTTTTTCGTACAACTGGTCGATTTCGGGTAAAAATGGTATTGCTGATAATAGTATATTATGTAACAAGTGTGGTAAGCGACATTTGAGTCACTAGTGATTTAGGAATTTCAGTAAAATACTACTAATACTAGTAATGCTATGATATTAAGATATTCAGGTTTTTTTCGGTGATATTGTACATTTATATGTTCATTGGTTCGATTTTGATTATGTTTTTTATTGATTTCTCGGCCCTAACTGTTATGCAGAATTTAGTTTGGGCTATACTAACGCATAATTTTATTATTTGTCATTATTCACTATGCGATAAAATATCTTTTATTTAAATTAATGAATGTCAACGCTGAATATACTTATTTTTAGTGAACTATTTTGGAGCCAACGATTTGCTTTAAATATCATATAACAATGCTAATATCTCGAAAATGGGTTGTTTCGTCAAAAGAAATGTATAACTTTTTTTCTTAAACTTTTCAAAGAAACTTCCGCGGGCTACTGCGATACTATTTACAAAACTTCTACTACTGTTGATAAATCGAACTTGCTGACGTTTCGTCCGCAGAGCAGAGCTTAGATAAAACTGGCTCGTATTCTACTTTGGACCTGCTTATATATTGTTTGAGTGGGGGCGGAGCTGAAGTAGGGAATTCCGTGGAATTTCGAGAAATTATACGTAAAAAAGGAATTACGGGTGCACACCCTTAGCTCTGCCCTGCATAAAGGGTTATACAATTTTTTTGGGTAGTTTGAAGATTGCAACAAAAACGTTTATTATGGATAAAATAAATTATCGTCCAGGAACGAATGGAATGACAAAATGTTTTACCACCGTTTTTTAAATAAGCTGTCCATATTCAACATATAAAACAATAAAAAACATATAAACAATAAAAAACTTGCAATTGTTTTTATTCATATTGCCCCTGCATGTTATTTTTTGTGTTCTGTTTAAAATGGACCAATTTAAATTGCAGACGTTTAAATCAGAAATAGGATATGATTCAGTGAACTTAAGAATTTTATCATTTTAGCTGACTTCGTTTAGAAATCTCCTAAGAGGAGTCCGCTTCGGTTACAGATCGCGTACACCGTGTGCCAAATAAAAAGAAAAGTTTCATGGACTCTCCAGAAGATTTAAAATGTTCATCAATCATCAATTTTGTTTTTTTAAATGGAATGCATATTTCGACGTTTTTGGAATCCTTGGTTAAAATAAAGATCACTTTCTTAAGAAATTTTTACTGGCATTTTGCAGAAATTAAGGTTATGTGTTTTTTTTTTAATATTTTGATTGCCCCATATAAAATTGTGTTGTGACGCTACTGATACAGTTATTGCAACGAAAAGTTAACCACAGACTAAGGAGATGATACACAACTCAACCAGTTTGACAGATATGCCTTAACTTATACAGGGTGTCCCAAATAGGTGGTGCCGTTTTGGCGAATTCAATTAACAAAATATCAAGATTTTCAAATGGAACACACTATATTTTTATTCAGATATCAATTCCAGGACAAAAAATAAGGTAAATTTGTAATTTGTATTTATTTTTTGAGATATTCGAGGTTTAGGATAACACCCTCAAAAATTCTTATTGAATTTAAAGCTGCCCACATTAGGGCATTTGTTGGCAATATTAGGTATTTCTTAAATAGCAAAGACATGATCGCTTTATTTGGCACGCGGTGTACATGTGCATATAGACCTCACTCGCGAACAATATCTTATGACACAGTCTTAACGATACCGTTGTCGCTGAGGACAATCTCTTAATATTTACGGGCAACAAATTCCACCTATCGGACTGCAGATTTAAATTGTATGTTCTGTAGTCAATCCTTTGAAATTTTTGACAGATCGAATCAGCGTGAGACCCTTTGCTAATTGCTGATTTTTCGATATTTATTATTATGGCACACTACGCCAATGCGATGTCTAAGTAGGGAGACTGTTTGGCTTGGAACGTTCGATAGCGAGGACTTGGCGCCCTCGAAACGTCCCGGATTCGAACAATGGCGCGTAATTTTTCGACACAAAAGCAATTATCTCCAATAAACGGAAATTAAAGGTGATAAACGGATGAAGGGGATGGATGGTTTTTTCATTTTCCGCTAATACGTGTGTCTGTTGTGGACGGTCCATTACTGGTGGTCGATTCGATCGGTGAAAAAAGGGAACAAAAAAAAAAAACAATATAGTAATTAAGTGGCAAACTTTGAAAATTTGTACTATATAAATCGTGTTAGTAGCCAAGGCAGACAATCGCGGCGCGTTGTGTACAGCTTTGGAATGAATTTTTATTTTTTCATGATCTGTAAATTCAAATTTAAATCTTTTTAACAGTATCTAATTAAAAGACTAATGATACCAAACATCAATGAAGGTTTTGGGATAAATTTAATGTAGAGTGACACCTGTAGTAATAGGGGTTGATTTCTTGATTTCATTGATTTTTTTGTTACATACATTATTACTAATGGCAGATAACTACGATAAGACATTGTTTTATATTATTTCGCGTTTTTACTACCTATCTAAGTTTTTTGGGGTATATCGTTTAGTAGTAGAAAAATTGAAGTTTGCGCATAAATATTTACATAAAATGTTAGATCACCCTTCTTATTTTGAAAAAAAAAAAAAAACAACGAAAAAAAATCTTTGACGTTGACGTTTTAAAAAAAAAATGAATTATTACAACCTGCAAAGACCATTTTAGATGCACAATTTTGATCGAGTTCATCAGGTAGATACCCGGTCATGGGGTATTGGAAAAGACCAGCAGTCGAATGGAAATTCTAACCGACGCCTGAGTTATCCCCTCCTGATTTTCCGGCGACAAAGGCGGGCGGGGGATGGGGTTATAAAACACCCCGCACTGGCGCGAGAACTGCCCCATTTCCTCGATATATTATCAGTTTAAAAGTCGAAGGGGCTTAACAATGGGGATTAGGCGGGGAATGGCGGCGACCGTTTACATTTTGAAAAATGAATTTACTTACATTGTAATAAATGTCCGGATTGTTGCTGTCGTACAAAAGGGCCCGCTCGTAAACCTCTTGCGCTTCCTTCGTCCTATTCAGTTTTATCAATATATCGCCTCTATTAATATACGCCTGGGTGTAATCCGCTCTCATGCTGATCGCCTGCCGGTAAAGCATGTCGGCCTCTTCCAATCGCGTGTGGTTCTTCGATATCAAGTTGGCCAGGTTGAGGAAAACGTTCAGGTGATTCGGAGCAATCCTAGCCTGATAGGACTCGCCTGGTTTCGCTTTGGGTAACAGCGATTTCGCCTTAAGATAAGCCTCTTCCGCTTCTTTATACATTTTCAAGTGATTGTAAGTGCGTCCGACGTTGATGTAGGCGCCGACGTCGTCGTTTTGGACGCTCACCGCAGTTTTGAAAAAGGCCAATGCGTCTTCGAACTCGCCGCGACTTTCTAACGCGTGGCCGACGTTATTGAACAGTTTGGCGTTCCGTTGGTTGACCCGCAGACCCGACATGAAAATCGTGTATTCATTCTCCCAGTCCCAATTTCGTAAATAGGTCTTCGTCCCGTGGGAGAGGAGCATGAGACACAGACAAGCCCACGCGAGCTTTCTGTTGAGTTTTTCGCGGATAGTGTGCCAGCCGTAAGCGATCATCATGCAGAAACCCATCGATGGCATGTAGAGAACGCGTTCCGCTACCACGAATCCCACGGGGAAGAATAGATTCGACGCTGGTACGAACGGCAGTACCAATAGGGACGTGCTCTGTAAGATAAATGAAAAACAGCTTTGAAATTTTTGAAATATAAAAAAAAATTACGCTTTTCTAGATTTTTCTACTTCTACAATGTACCTTTGCATTTTTCAGAATTTTGGAAGCCATTGTACATTGTTTAATTAGGTCGGCGCCGCATGGGAAACTTTTTATTCTAAAGTACTTGTATTTTTGAAAATATCGACCATTATTATTAAGGCAGTAGATCATAATTCAAGATTCAAGATTGTTGTCAGATATCCAACCATCCGTAAGGTATGATCACAAAATAATTTTCATAAAAGAATAACTTCGTATGAAATTCAATCTCACTACGGTATTGCGGCAACCACAGCAAATGAAGAAGACAAAGAAGTGCCGGAAGAAACATCTCCAACTTGTCATAACGCCGTAACAGAGATCAAAAATGTAAAACGATTTTTAGAAAATAGAAGCAATACAGAAAATCGTATTTTAAGTTCTGTATTTACAGCAAATTATTCTTATAAATCGGCAAAAGTAAACTCTAATAAAGGAATTTTTTTACATATACATACATAAAATAAAATAAATCTTTTGTTAGGTCGTTTGAGCTTTCCTTTATAAGACGTAGTATGTCCAAGAATAAATAAAAACAAAGATCTAAGCATATGGTTTTAATTCTTTTCTGAAGAAAATTTTGGTATAACGTACCTATTATTAAGTTCCCACCTGGTACGGTTTAACTAGGTTTTACTGCATGCAAATGAATTGAATAAAAAGTTAACTGACACGTAGTAAGTATCATTACTTTAACCTTACGGGAGCTGCCATTTCTTGTATTTTGTTTTTTTTTTTATTTTATAAATTATCAATATTAATAACGAGAAGTTTATAAAAACATCAGATAGATAATATTGGGTATCTGACCATAGTTTTCAATTATTATCAATTTTTGTAGGCACTTTACTCTCGTCTATAACTATTTGGTATATGAGGTATTCACCAGTCTCAACAAAAGTTATATTTCAATTTCAAATTTTAGAACAATCAGAACTTTTTATAAAGACTAAGCTGTTATCATAAAACCCAAAATAAAAAGTTTTCCATATTATATAATAACTTAATTGGGCACGTTGTCTATAAGGAATTTTTTTGTTGTACAACAACAGGTAAAAGGTTTTCAGCCCGAATTCACAAGGACCTAAAATTTAAATTGCCTAACGAATCAAGAAAAACACCTTAAAATATAAATCCAGAACCAGAATCAACGCGTCAATCCAAAACAATTTCATTGCTTATTGGACTACATTAATATTTCGTACGAAGCCATATTTAGGCAAAAATGTTACTGTTTATTCCGTTATGTGTTTGCAAGAAAAATTGTTAGTAAACAAATATGAAGCATCAAATGTCATTTTTCCCGTTGTCAAGAGGTTTCGATTAATGACAACGCACACAAAAAACCGTATCTCTATAAAGTATAAAATATATTTCGCAATAAATTCCGGCGACAATATCACAGAAGATATACCTATCTATATTTATATTTTCCGACGTTTTAACAAATAGGATATAAAACGTCGAGCTAAATTCGAATCCTTTATGTATATATGTGCTTTATATTTATGTTGCATCAAATTGTAACGAAATAACAAATGCCTAACAAATATTTGCCTGAGTCCCTGAAAAAGATGCTTCTGCCAGGTTTGTCGACCATAAAAGATAAAAAAATATTTTGCAGGGAAAGTAGTCATATTTTGATAAACTGTCAGGATACTCCTTGCGTTAGACGAAGAACGAGCTACAGTGTTCAGCAATTACGTCGTCGGCTACTGCCGTGCCTCGATAAAAGATCGTAAGAGAGATCGTTTTGACATAGGGTTGAGAGAACGAGAGAGGAAAAGAGAGGAGTGCCACAGAACAAATAATAAAAGCGCAATTTTTGATCTATCAGCGTCGAAGGAAATAAACCTGATAAGGTCGACGTTACATTGCAAACTGCCATTTTCTCGCATCAAAGCCAACTTTAACAAGGCGGAAACACTTTTTACGAGAAAGTATAAACCGAGAAACGAGCTCTATCACAGCTACCGTTCAGCAACAAATTTAGAACGCGTCTGGTGTGTCTTTATGTGTGTGTGTCGCTTAATGGCTTGCCGATTGTGAAACTGCCACGACGTTAGCTGCTCGATAACTTGTTCCAGTACCGAGGAAGTGATTTTAGAGTCACCCGCTACTAAATAGAAACCTTATATCAAAAATAACCAGATTGCAATCGAAAAAAAAAATCGGCACTACTCGAATGTAATTAGTCAAGCAGAAAATAAACACAAAAAGCTCTAGGAAATTGGTTCGCGAGAAACTGAAGAAACAAAAAAATCACCCAAAAATTAATTTAAAAATAAACGACACATTAAAAAAAATAAAAATACACTAAAATGTGATATATTTGAGGTAAATGAAATATTAGATATGATACGCTCGTTAAAAAATCAAAAGTCAATGGGGGCAGATGAAATACCAACCACGCACGCATAATTTGAGTTAAATAAAGGCAAAACAAGTATAATAGTTAAAGATATGATGCTAAATTAATTTGTTTCGTAAAATACAAATCCTATTAAATTTTAGATATTCAAGCTGAGAAGCTTCAGATTTTGATCTGCTTTCTCTAATTTTGATATAAATCCGAGAACATTAGCGTTGTATTAATACTCCGTGTCTGTTGAATTCCTTTTTAAGGGTAATATTATAAATTCAAACAAAACAGTTTGTTACTGCTTCGTTCAATTCTTCCTTCAATTCTTTTTCAATGCAATTTTTTAGATAATGCTAAAGAAAAAAAGGCTAATCAATAGTTTTTGTGAAGAGCATGAGCATTGGTAAAATCCATCACTTTATTCGGTTTATATTCCAAAAAATTTATAAATATGTCGCTCGTAGTTATCTTCAATAACTTCTGTTAACTAAATTTTAAATTATTTCTTTTGCTTTGATTTTTTTTAATTTCATTTAAAGACAATGTATTTTGTTTTTAAATTAACCGTTTAAATGGTAATATTTCAATATAGGTTATTAGTTATTATTGCTACAGGCAGGGTAGGATCAATATATTAACAAAAAAGCGAATAAAGAATGTGTAAGAACAATATTGAAATTGTAGTACTTAATGGACACTGCAGATTTTCTTTTGAACGCCTTTATGGGACTTGGAAAGACTCTAGTTTGTCTAAAATAACTGACTCCAGCAACTTTTTAGTTGCTATGAAATGCGGCGTTATAGTGACTATCTTTTAAAATTTTATTTATGTTATTTCTGAACATCCTGTACCTCGAACTTACCATTACATGACGTCACTCACATAGTTTTTTTTAGATGTAGCTAAAACCACTTTTTTGTAGCTGATTTGTATGAAGATGTTGAAGCTCCTAAAATTACAAACAAACCGAAACGCATTTTAAACATTCTTTAAAACCGTTATTTGCTTTTGAAAAATGATTAGAAAATTATTTTTTATATAATCATTTAAAGGTGATGCTTTAGGCAATATTTTTTATAATCTGATAAACTTTTCGGTGTATAATAGTCAGCGCAATACGATTGGCAATTGACACGTCGAGTTTTAACGTCATAATTATCCCAAGGGAAAGAGTTAATTGTCCTAACGTCGACTCGATTCGAATGTTATTATCGAAATTGTTAATTGCTCAATTACCATTTTCGGACAATGTTATGGATTAACGGGGAACATGGACGAAATTAGGTTTGGTCGGGCGTTAAAATCACAATGAAAACACGAAGAATAATGGACGTTGTGACTATACTCCGTGCATTAACGTCGCCATAATAAAATTAACCCGTGATCGGATCAACGTATATTAATCGAGAAACAAAAGAACGTACGACCGATCGTATTGGATATTCGGGAATGCTAAATGATTCTGCGAATGCCCCAGAGCAAAACGTCAACGAAACAACAACAAAAATTCATTAGATACGCGATTCGTGAATTGTTTTACGCGTTTCAACGCTGGCGGCACATAAAAAAAAGAAGCTTTTTCAGTGTGCTATCATATTCGCGATAGACGTTCAAAAATTCAATTCGAAGCATCGATTTAGCCATACATATTTTAGATTTCACCTTTGAAGTTCAATAACGAGTTTTTTACACAGAGTGTGTAATTTATGCTATAAAATTAGCAACGTCATAAAAGTCCAAAAGTTTTTAATAAAAAGCATATTTATGAATTTAATTTTTTAGAGAAATTTCCATTGTTCTGTTATTATATTAAAAAGCGCGCTCTAGCGGCATCCTTAAGAACTTGACCCTATGCAAATAAAATGGTTTTAACGGAGCAATAAACATTATTTCCAACGTAGATATGTCAAAAAAGTGTTAAACAAAAATCACTTGAACAAAGAACAATCTGCTTCTATTGGTGTAACCGATTAATTAATTAATCAATCCGATATTTTTGGATATTTTTATAGAAGAAAACGAAGATCTCCCGCTGTACGTAATAGATCTGTCAAGACATTGCCTGAAAAACGCTTACTTTATATACGACGGGAAAATTTACCGACAAATAGATGGAGCAGCAATGGGATCAGCTCTCTCACCTGTGATTGCCAACCTCTTCATGATTTACTTCGAAAAGAAAGCAACAGAACATCTGAATTCCATTCACCCAAGGATTCAATTTACAATAGAACCTGAAGAGGATAACAGTCTGCCCTTTTTAGATGTGCACATCACAAGGACCGAAGACGGACATTTGGAACACACTGTCTATAGAAAACCAACACACACTAATAGATATCTGAACGCTAAATCTCATCACCACCCATCACAGATACAGGCAGTGGCAAATACATTAATTGCTCGGTCCTTCAGACTCACAAACGAGAGGAACAGAGATGAAGAACTGAAAAAAATTAGTACCTGTCTTCGACAAAACGGATACCAAAGGCGCATCATCAGCAATGCAATCGGTAAACAACAACAGCCGCAGCAGAGAGTGCAGGACGAGACCCAACCAAGATCGATCGCTGTCCTGCCATACATCAAAGGGGTTACTGACAAAATAGGTCGAATATTACAGAAACACGACATATCAAAGGCATACAAACTTGATCATACCATCGGAGCAATACTAAGAAACCCAAAACAAAAAATTACTCTGGAAAACCAAGAAGTATATAGTGTAGCATGCGAATCGTGCAGCCTGACGTATGTGGGACAGACCAACAGAAGAATTTCAGCCAGGCTCGAGGCACATCGTTTAGCCATAAGAAACAAACAAACAACATCTGCTTTGTTTCAGCACAAACATCAGACAGGCCATAAAATTGATTTGGGTACTTGCAAACAAATAGCTAATATTCCTGATTTTAAGACTAGGATTATACGAGAGACCATCGAAATAGAAAAGTCCGGGACACCTCAATACGAGAAACGACGCTCTGCATTTATCCAACACGTGGAGAACGATAATCAAACAGCAGAGCGATGCGCAGCAGCCAACGGGGACATCGCCACTACGATCGGGTGAAATTAACAACGCGACAATTCGGGGGGCGGAGCCACCTCCCTTCCCGCACAAGCAGCACCGTTACCATCTCCGGCGCAGAGTATAAATACCGCACGCACCGCCGATAACCTCCCAGTGTTCGAAGTGTTTTCGGAGCGCGAGCATTGAAGATGCCAAGTGAGATTTTGGCGAAACGTCTGCAGGATTCCAGTCGGATGCAGGATTCCAGTCAACGAGTTCAACGAGCGAACGGATGATATCCCGGAATATAGTGTCATCATATATATATATTTTGTACGGATTGGAATCAAATGCAAAGTAGGTACGGATGTTTTTATTAGTAAATATATTGGATAATTTAATTTTGTTAGTTTAAAATTGAATGATATATTATTTTGTTAAGGTCTTTAGAATCGGTTTTGTAATTAACTAATTTTTTGTTTTTTTATATTTCCATACTTTCATAAAGTTCTCTCTTTTTGGTGTTAGGTTCTGTTAGTAGGACTTTAATTTTTTGAAAATTAAACGTGTGTTTGCTGTTTTCGCAATGGCTATGAAGAGCTGTTTTATTTTTTTTGTCATATTTATATATGAAGCAATTGGAATATAATACCCCATCTGTTGTTCATTACTTATGGTTGCTCAAATCGGAAGATAAATCTGTTGGTACATACTGTATAAGTATTAGGCATAACATTTTGACACAGAATCCTGCATTTTGCGCCATTTTGCAGGAGATATGAATTCCTGAAGTGTTCCTTTCTTATTTTAAATGGATGACCACGTAGGCGTTCGTCATTGCTTAAGACCACAAAGGGCACGTCGGATGGAAATTAGTCATGCGCAAACTATACATTTGAATGAGATCCCCTCGCAGCCGACGCGAACTTAATGTTGGCAGGCTAAGTATTTTGAGACGGTCATCGTAAGGTGTTTGTCTAAGTTCTTATTAGTTGTTCCTTTATAACATTTTTTGGCTTCAAAAGCGCATTATCAGCACAGACGCACCTCTACACATCTGGTACATACGTACCCAGACATTGACTAAAATAATGAACTTACGATGATCAAAACCACACTCTGGTGCCTGTTCTCACTAGTGAGCGCCGTCATTCCCAACGCAACCAGGAGACAGTACGTGGCGAGCGTTGCCAAGTTTCTCACGTCGAAAAACGACTCGACCAATGGTATCGTGCCCATCGTCCAGTCGCAGCAAAGATTACATGGAAAGAGCAGCAGCCAGAGATTCACCCCTATCAAGTAATGATAGGTGAGTTGACGAGCCGGCGTCACGGCGACCGACGCAGGGTTATCGAATCGGGTGAAAACGGGAAGCTGGGAGCCCATTATGTGAAGCCGTGCTAGTAGCAGCAATATGGTGGTGGTTAATAGCACCGCTAGCCTCTTCGTCGCGGCGTTCGATTTTGGCAAGTTGTACGACGATTTTGTGTTCACCGCCGATTTCAGGAAGTGTTTGATCTCCTGCAGTCGGACCTGGAATTATAACCGAACGTCAGCTTTCAGGTGGGTCTTAAACATCCTATAGATGGCGAGTACTGTCTGGAAAATCACTTGATTGTGGGAAATTATAAATCAAAAATGCCTATTTTCCTAACACGCTTTCCATAGTTTTGGTGTCTCGCAAAAAGCACGTACGTCAGACTTGCAACCGACGCCGAAAAGTAGACTTTAACGGTTTACCAGTAACGACGTATCATTATTTGTGACTTGTCGGTCGGAAATCGTCTGATAAGACGCCAAATCTGCAATTCTGCACTAAAAAGCGCATTATTGCGGATGACTAGGGATTTCACATAAAATGTAGGCAGCGATACAAATGCGACCGAATATAATTTGCTGGGATCACCGGAACCGCTTCTTTAAACTTGTACAGAACACACCTGAAAACACCTCTTTCTACCGTTACAATAATATTAATCCATCCCCACTACCATCCCTTAAAGTACTCTTGCTTTAGCTTCGAGTTTTTCAGTGCCAATTTATTGGAATACTTGTATTTTTTTAATTTAATAAACTTAAATAAACATTGAATATTACATTACATTATATATATTGTACAGATGTAAACCAGCAAAAATTGGTGATTACTTAAAATATTCATGATTACATCATTGATAACTAGAATGTCAATAATTAAAGAGGCGGTTTTTAGGTACACCACCGATTTCTCTAAAAATAAAAATAATTCTTACAGTGTTAATCCGATGTACCGTTTTGGCTTAAAAAAATAAAAACCCCTTCTCTGCATGGTCATAATAATATCGATAATATGACAACATGCTGAGAATAATTATCATTATTATTTCTTATTTAAGTAATTGTTTGTTTTTTTGGTTGTTTGACATCAGTTTTTAAATTCAGTTCTTCACGTTTTATTAATTTGGTGAACATATCGGAGAACATTTTAAAATGTACGTAGAAGGTTGACTGAAACAACTTCAACATCATTTAAAAGGGGCCCATCGAACAGTAAAAACTCCAGACATTGAAGAAGCACTTTTAAATTTAATAGATGAAAATCCTGAACTTATTACTAGAAAATTTTTTGATTGTCCAAGCGTTACTTCCTAGAGACTTTCCCTGACGCGTTAATTTTTGTCAAGGTTTTTGACCAAGAAATGTTATTTACAGATGCAGCCAACTTTTCCAGAAAACCATGTTTGGGCTGACGAAAACCCCTCTGCAATTGTAGAATTTAAACATCAAGAATAGTTTTCAGTGAATTTGGGCTGTAATTGTTGGAAATTACTTACCCTTTTTCCCACCAGAAACGCTAAATGGTTATAATTATCCACAGTTTTTGGAAGAGAATTTATTAAAATATGTAGTGTTGCAGTAAGAGAATATTTAAAGCACACATTTAGTAACCGGTGGGTAGGTCGCGGCGCATCTCAACCATAGTATCTCCGTAGGTAGATTTAAATAGTTTGGACCTTTTTGTTAAAAGCCTGGTCTATCGCACCCCAGTTAACACTGCAGAAGAGTTGAAGGATCGTATAAGAGCTTCCTGCGGTTTAGTAAGAAAAACTGCGGGTATACTTCATAGAGTGGAGGACATTTTCAACAAAAGGTTGTTATTAAATTTATGAACAGAAAATTTTATTAAAAATTATTAATAGTAATTAATGTTTTTTTTTTAAATAGGAACCTATTTATATTTATCTCCTTGTTAGGATGCTAGAGAACAGCCTTCCAATATTTCTTTTTTATAAAGAACACTAGTTGGTAACTAGAAAACGTTAATTTATGAACCAGCTGTTTTTGTACATCATTTTTATTTTTTCGTTTACATTAAAATTTGCTCTGAGATTCGATACCACCACCGTGGCACAAATCAAACAGATAAATCCAAAAACGTCCACCAGAACTGTTTCATTAAACATTCATTAGCCCGGAACGACGAAACTTCGATGGAAAACGGCCATTCGAAGGAAAATTAATAAATTGTCGAGTCCGACATTATTTAACGCACCTCTCTCTCTCTCTTTCCCCTATTTAAGTCCCCGAAGCCGATGGAAATATAGGACGCGATGGTTGGGCGCTTAAAAACTATCCCCCGGGGAATTTGAAGCTGCGGGTTGTATGACTGGACAAAAATCCGGCTTTTGTTTCCATTTTTGTTAATGTCGGTAGCTTAAATCGGAAAATGGAAAATAAGTCTTGCCGTCGACGCCAAAGAAGGACTTTTTTTCAATTTTTCGGTGGTAATTCCCAGAGTTTCGTCAGATGAGTGTTATTTTTTAGGGGCTTACAAATCAACTAGTAACTCAAAAATAATGGACGAGGAGAGATTTAGTTATACAGACTGGTTTGCAAAAGTGTGCGGCCGCCAATAGGGTTCTGAACGTGTTCTAAGGAGTATTGTCAACGAGAAAGTGGAAACCAGTGTACAGGTCAGTAATATGACCTCTTTATCTCACTCGTTTCGAAAATTAAATACGGCATCCGGATGGGAATTTTTAAATAACCAAAAGACCCATCGGGAATATTGTAATTTCTTCGACACATGCACATTGCAGAGAGTTTTTTAAACTGATGTCTATATCAACTTTGCCTTGTATTTATATGCAGGGTTGTGTATGTATGTGTATCAGACAACCTTTCTTTAAAACCATCTTCAGTTGCGTCATAATTGCTATCAAAACATCTCTATCAAACAAATCTTCTATGGCTGTAACTAACAGTAGCATAATATTTGTGGGAAAATCTGAATGGTCGGTATAATGATTTTCAATTGCGTCAGGAAAAATACTCAACAATTGGAAAGGTCCGTATTTCCTTTAACTGACGTTTCTTAGAAAAAGCATGTAGGAACAAAATGGAACCGGAACATGTAACGCAAGAAAAAGTTCGCATACTTTAAAATTGTGTTGCCAAAGAAAATTGAATGCATATTCACGGAAAAATGAGTTTCGAGGAAGCCTCTCTATTTTGATAACATTTCCAGGAACAATTTGTCGTCCGCCAAATTGGAGACAAACGAACGTTCCCGATAGCAGATGAAAAAGTTTTGCGAAAAATAAAATTCTTGGAAATATATACGACCGGTACGGATAAAGTGGATAAAATTGAAGAAAACTACGCAACCGTTGCGGTACTCTTATAATGGACTGTCAGAAACTTTAGACAAACAAGAATACGCATTTATGACAAAACAGGAAAATTATTATAAATATTTGGTTGTTTTGTTATGCCAACAAATTTTGTAATCATACGTTGACTTAAAAAAGAGCAAAACCAAATAGAAACAAATACTAACATATGCTTTTAATATATATATTATTTGATATTCCTGTACGTCATTACCAATTTGGGATGGTAAAAAAATAAGGGTATTCTTCTCATACCTTTATTTGTTTTTTTACTTTTCGAAGAAGCTGCATTGATAATATTATTACAAAATAATCTAAAAAGAAAATATGTGCAGTACCTCGTCGCCCTTACCGAGACACCCGATACAAATAAATATAAAAAAAATCAAAATTTCTTGCGGTTAGTACAAAATTATCGAAATAAGAGAATGTAAAAAAATACGTTCACCTTAAATGGTTCAATTTTCAACTACCATGAAATAAATTTTTTCGCTGATCCATCTGAATTGATTTATTTTTAGGAGCGAAACTGTTAAAATCTATCGCCCACCTATCCCACTCCTGATCACATACCAATTTAGGCTCTTAATTAATGTATTTCCACATCGATAATGGTTTTAACGATAGACGGGAAATGGCATATGACGTTGTCTAGCAGACTACCGGGATAAATAATTGAAGTCGGTAATAGATTGGCTGACGTTAGAGCTTCGCGCTAAAAGCACAAAAAACAGCTGCGATATGAATAGTCCCGCCATTCCAACTCCCCAAATCGATGCATTCTAAAGCGTTTCCACACGCGCAGATTTAAAATATCCTACATTTTAAATAACAGGACTGTGCTAAATATTGCGTGCGGCCTATTCCGATAAATAATTGAAATACAAAATCAAATATTTGTAGGATAAAAAAAATGAATGCAAATAAAAACTTTAAGAAATTTCACGCATATCTGGAGATATTTGCTTATTTTTAATGTTTTAGATTTCAGTCCATTAGATTATTTTTTTCAAAGAGTTTATATCTTTTTGCGTTTCCGGAAAAGATCTTTGGTTTCATTAGTACAGTCATTAGCAAATAGGCGCCCATGGAAGTATTATGCTATTTTACCTGCTAAACTGATGCCACTGGTATTTGTTTCATTTTGATTATATTTCTGTTTGGTATCAATCAAAAATTCCTAAATATTGGATATGTAATTGTTTTAAAAATATTTTCAAAGAAATTATTATAATGCAAAATAAGAAAATTACGGAAAAATTACACAGAAATCTTACATTTAAGAAAGTCCAAATGTTTTGATCAATATGGAAAAAATTGATTATATTTTTTAAATACGTTTAGAATATGTAAAAATTTTTCATTTCATTTCATTTCATTTTCGACGGCCGCGCGATTTTAGATTTTGGTGCTATTAAAGTATGGCGGATTTTATTCGCTCGCCGACAAACCTTTTGAACCACGAAAACCTCGTAGACGGCGCAGACTCCGGCGACGCTTATTCCCTGTTCTTTGCAGAGCATTGCGGTCGCGATCGCCGTCATGGAACACGCCACGAATTTCCATTCTGGAAAACAAATTGCATTATATTACGGAACAAGCACTCGCATATTGCGTGAATGTTTTGTAGTAATTTCATTATCCTTCATCTCATCATTTTGTATTTAAAACATTTTGTTTATTACTTGATACGCTTTGGTCCTCGTGAAACAGACTTATTTAGACAATAATTATTTTACAAATAAAATGAAAAACCAAAAACGGCTTTAAAATTTTGGGGTTTGAGCCGTACACGTCAATCAAAACGGTATGTAAGCCACTTTTCAATGACCTATTCAACATTTTTTTCATTTTCACATTTTCTGATATTCAACTTTTACATTTTTTTATAATAAATGTAATGTCACAATCGTTAATAGTATATTATCCCAACTAGCAAAATGGAATTCTTAAAAGACTGATATGTCCTAGCGTTGTTTTAAGGACTTTTTGTTTTTTATTTTTTTTTTTAATTGCTGCGATTGTTTTGTTTATTAACAAAAATTGTTGTTTTAAATGATTTTACAAGAGGTTTTCCCTGCATACCTATTGCACAAGGGTTCTATAATATGTCATATAACTAGTAGCGACAGCATTATGAAATAGTTACTCAAGCGTGACTTATTAAAGCTGTTTAATGCTGTATAATAATTGCTTTCTAGCATTGGATTGCACTGAATTATAAACCACTTAACTTTGAATACTATAAGACCTTCTTTATAAAATACTTATAGGATAAAATGGTTTATATCAAAATAATTGCATCCTAAGATCTGCGTTATAACACTGTGAAGTGAACGTTAAATGCACTAAGGCATTTAAATTTGTTGAATGGCAAATTCAATTTATGTAACAGCAATTACAAAAAAAAAAATAAAAAAAAAACGAAAAAAACGCAATTTTAAAAAGATTTCCAAAATTTGGAAAATTCGATCAATAATGAAAACGACAATACGACCAAAAATTTGAAATTAGAAGACGGCTATTTCTTGGGGGACCTCTTATAATATTACACATTTCGCTTTAAGGGAACTTTTTACTATGTGGTACTCTCAGCTTCCAACATTGTATGTAATTGTGCTTCTGCTTTTTGAAACGATGCACAACCCTGTCTTTTTGCAATACACGGTATCGACGTCCAGTTAGGGTCAGAAGCGTATTCCGGATCATGTTAGGGGGTCAAACAATGTTCCACATTGTTCCCAACTCATGGGAACGACAGTGAGCTGGTTGTTCTCTTTCTCCACAGTGTCCACTAAACATTTTTTTTAAATTGTAAAAATCTATTTCAGACAGTTAAACATTCACTTTGCGATTAGGATGGAGGAGATATGATATATATCCAGTCCCACCCAATGACGCAATGCTATCAGATGATATCTCAGATATCTTATCCCACCACCGCCTGTAGAGAGCGCGTTGGTACGCCTTCTTGAACTTTTTCAAACATGGATGCCACGTTGGTTTAAAAATTGTATAGTTGAAAGAAAGTTTTACATATTTTATTATTTACATAATTATTTTACGAGTAAAATCTATAAAGGCTGGTTCGGTAACGTATATGTATATGAAATTTTGATTGACCGAAATTTGTATAAGTCGTCACGATAATTTCCGACATATTGAATTAAATGTAACTTGCAGATTCTATTATATTATATTTAATTTATAATTATTAATTATAATTAACCCATTCCATTACCTCGTAATGGTAAAAATACAGCTTAATTATTTGTAATTGATAAAGCATTTTTCTTAAAATATGTTCAATTGCCATTAAATTATTACCAGCTGTTATCAAGTTTAAATTCTTATCAAAATAGATCTGGCAAACTCTGTTCCTGTCGGCGAATCTCAAAATATTATTACTTTGTCAAAATTAGTGGTATAATGCCTAAATAATATTTGTTATACAACAGTTTCATAGAACATTGTTTCAATTTACAATTTATAAAGCATTGCTTAAGACATTTATTTCGATAAAATAGTTGTGTTATAAATCGCCATAATTAAATAACATAATAAATTGTGCATTTATGTTGGGAACATATGAAATTAAAGTGGCAAATGTGTCTTCAATATTATTTAGAAATTTATGCAGTGAAAGGATTCTCATATGCATTAATAATCTATAGAAACCTTTAAGACAAGATAATTTAAAAGAAAAAAAATATTTTACACATTAGTGGTCATTTTTAAAATTTGGTCTGATATTCTTCATAAAAGGATTTCTTAAACTACTAAATGATAATATGTTTTCCTTGTGCGCACAATAACAGCAGTATAAAAAAATATAATGCACCAAACAAACATTTTGTAATGCTTTTATCCCGCCTTGATCTCATTTTGTAAAGTTTTTTATGGTCGACATGTATAGGTAGACCTCTGTAAAACAGTCGCATCATAATTGTATAAACTTTTGCCACCAAACTGTTGTATAACAATTTTAGGTTGTATAAGGATTATTCCATCGTTTTGTTGCTATGCTACTTGAATCCTACACTTTTTCACCAACGAACACGAATACATTCACTGAGCGACATGTAACGTGAACACCAGAACTAAAAAACCGCAAAATAACATCAGTAGAAAATCTACTGAAAACATCGGATCGCTCCCAAACCGCCATTCAATAGGTAAACAACACCCAGAAGGCTGACTTCCGAAAATCCGTGACGTTTCACAAATTGCTATTCAATTTAATATAATAGAAAGCAGAGTCAATATAAAAATGTCAATTTTGAAAAATTAAAAATTTTCAAAGAATTCCATTTATGCTAATTCAGTGTATATAATTGAATATGTTAGAGTAGTGCGTAGAAAAAGTACGGAACGCCCCTTAACATACGAATACCCACTGGTACCGTATCGGCAAGTTTTATCTTTTTTTTTTTAAGTTAGGCAAACTGAGACATATGCCTGTGGTTGTTTGTCTTTAGTCATCGAAAAGGACGTCATAAAGTGACACTTTGCGCACGCTTGCTCTCTGCATAATGAATATTTTAGACTAGTGACTAAAAAAATTGTTTCTCAAACGAATGGCCCGTATACAATACAATACAGAATCCCACAAATTATTCCCTGGAAATGTAGCCTCGTCGGTAGAAAATTTGGGTTTTCGGTTTCCATATTTTGTAAAAATTGAGGAAATTGTAGGTGAGCTAGTAAATTGTGAGGCAATAACTGGTGAACCGGATTATAAAGATACGAATGGAGCTTTTGCTTTTTGTGAAAATTCTGTAATGGACGATTCACTTATCTCCGGCGCTGCACTTAACCGAAGAGAACTCAACCTTGGATTTTCCGAAATACGCATTAAAATTTTATCTTCTTCATCGTGGGTTTTTGCAGTACGTTATTTCTTTTGGAGCGAAATGATCTTATTTCAACTAAACAGTTGTAATTTTTTTTTAAGTTTAAAATTGGGTTGACTTTGATTTGGGTATAGTTGTAGATATCTTAGGGACGACGCAAGTCCACAAAGCACAAATCAGGCGTCTTACTATGACAAAAATTATTATGCCGCGTAGAAAATTAATCAGAACTTAGTGACATGACTGACTTAAAAGAAAATTGCAACATCATAAGTTTGATTGAATTGTAGTAGTACATTATGCAACGAGTGCGGTAAACGGCCTTTGAGTCACTCGTTTATTTGGCACAAACGGAGCGCAGCGGAGCGAGTGTCTAATAGACGAGTTTACCAAACGTGTTGCGTACTATAATTTTTCTACGACCGGAAACATTCGATTGCTCCCAAACCCGTGCAGTAATATCCTCGAAATGTCCGAAGTGGCTCGGATTCCTAGGAAACGAAACTGATGCGTTAAAATGATACTTTCCGCACGCTAGATCGGTGTATAATTAAGAATTTTACCGAACTAATCAAAACAATGCAGCCATTCGCAATTTTACTTGCAATCTATTCTACAGTATATTATGCAACAAGTGTGAATCACGAGTTTGTTTGGCACGAGCGGAGCGAGTGACTTAAAAAGTTTACCAAACGTATGCATACTATACTTTTTCTACGACCGTTCGTCTTTGGGTACATTTTTCCAAAATAACACGAATACATTCACTGACGTGACCATCAGAATTGGTAAACGTCAAAATTCAAGCCGTGCGGTTGAATCTTGTTCATATTTCAACCATAACTTAACATGATTATATTTATCTAATACGAATACGGTGAAACAATCCAAATAAGTTTCAAATTGGTAATTGTCATGTCAGAAAACCTAAAACTGCCAATTTTTATTATTATACTACACAAACTATCTGAATTAATAAGAAAATTCAAAATAAAATTTAAAATTTGAAAACCATGTATCTCCGAAACTAACGAACATTTGTGAGTCTGAGTGAGGAATGTTGAGCACCATCATAATATTTTGGTGTCTAGTACCTCCAATTTAAGGAGATTGCCCATTCTTTATGAATCACCCCGTATATATGATGTTTCGATCGGCACTGTCCTTTACGAGAAACCTGTTTGAAATTCTGACTCATTTTAAATTAAAGTCAAAAATTCTTATTTATTTTCTAGAAATTCTGATTTATTTTTCACAAACTTTGACTAATTTTCCAGAAATTCTAACTAATTTTTCAGAACTTCTGCGCTTCCAGCGCTTTCTTAGGTACGCCACCTCCATCGACAATTTGAACTAGTATAAGAAGACCACAGGAATTTTCTCTTTTGTAGTTAAATTTTTCGCAAGAACTCATCTATTCGTTTAAATATCTATTGTCTTTCACTACCAATATTTCCATCTGGTAATTTGATTAATAGGAGATCCGCGTACGGCTCGCCGAAACTATTTCGACTGTTATACCTTATTACTTCCACCTTGTTGGCCGCACCTCCTCGGAATAAAATATTGTTCTTAGAGCAAACATGTCGCGCGGTTTATTATCATACACAAACAGGGGCCGACCCAACGGAATATATAAAACGTCTTTTGAGGGAATAAATTTTAATGGTAATGATCCCCCTGGTAATTTGCCTGTTTAATTTGCTCCGAGAATTACCTTGTCGGTGAGCAACGGAAAACTATACCGAGCCTGCGCACATTGGCACAAGGAGCAAGAATTTTTATACGAAACGAAATAGCTAACCCAATCGTCGGTCCAAATTCACATGCGCGGTGATGTCCATTTCACATTACCTTATAACTGTATTTCTAGGCCAACAGGCTATTTAAACTACATACAATAACATTATTTTTGCCCCCTGTTGCAAATCGCATACAAATTTTTGTCGATGAAGGCACCAAAGGCGTAATTCGAATGAAAAGTTCACTGTTTTTATTTTAAAAAAATACCCATCCTAAATAATGTGACCTACCTTAAAAAATCTTGTAAAAATTCAAGTCAAAACAGGACATTACTTTGTGTCTTATAAAGTCAAGTCTGCTTTGTGTGAAGAATTTTAATCACATTTTAATTATGCTAAAACGGTTTACTGGCCATTTTCGGATAAAATGAAAGTTAAAAATTGTTTCGTAGGACTAATATATGGGATTGAGCGGAGACAGAAAGTTGTCAGTCTACAATGTCGAACATATTTTCATGAAAAATTAACATATCGTACGGATGTTAATAACATGTTAACTGTAGAACATAAAAGAATTTTCAAATGCGCTTTTTCTACCAGACAGCTTTTAGAATTAATAAATTTTCTTTCATTTCTATAGAATTATGTGTCTCTTCTGATCATTGAGGTCATTTTTTAGGCTTCAACAACACGTTCCCTTGGAAGGAAGCTGGATAAAGGTCAATTACTCTTTCTGTATGTTGTTGTATGTAGTCTGGCATAATCTCGTATAATTTGTAGTTTGCAACAATAAACTTTATTATTATCATGACCGAATGACAATTTTCCGTTGATAACGAAAAAACCTTTATGGACAAATTAATAATACACTTTTACTAGAAAGTTGTTGGCCAAGAAAATACTTGAGGAGTATAAAGCACTGATGAAAGCGGAGTAAAACCTTTTATCTTGATGAGACGTGGATTAATAAAGCTGGCAAGACAAAAATATAACTAGTGCTCGCCAAGCTTTCAAGAAAAGACTGTCAACGATTTTATAGTGCCTTAAGAAAAAGAGAATCGTCCATATTGGAAGGGGAGGATTTTTAAAACAAGGTTTGCGAATCTTTCAGTCGTGCTACCCGAGAGTTTATCAATGGGACATGAATTGGGATGTTTCTGAAGACTGTTTTGGTGAAACGATTCATTTGGTGAAACAATCAAGTGGGTCTGAAGTCTTTGCTGGGTACCTTTACATACATAAATAGGTAGGGTGTAGAAAAAAATTAGTCTAACATACTCATGAGATATTTACATCTTTTTAACTCTAATATTTTATATAGGAACGACAGGAATAAAACTCTGATATCTAAAGTCGTATTAGCATACTTAACGAGTTAACAAAACATGGCGATAATGTTATTCAATAATATTTCAAAAGAGTTCCTTTTAATAATCTTTTTGAAAGTTTTCCTCACGATCACTTCATCAGAATATACCAGTTTCAAACATTTGCAGAGCCAACTAACTAAATTGAAAGCTATATTACACTTAGCAATTTTTAACGTTATATTTTCAAAAATAATTCAAAATAATCCATCTCCCAAAGTGGAGTACGAAATTCAAGAGAAAAGAAACAACCTTGTTCTCCTCCTAACTAAATATAAAATCATTTTTCTTAAGTAAAAGAAATTTCGCGCAAGATGTCATTTAAGTTTACGGTGTCTGCTGTTTTTATTTTATGTATTACAAGAGTTAGCTGACGATGAGCACTTGAGTACTCGAAACATGCACTGACGAATTGACGCTTTTTTGTGGAGGACGACAGGTTTTTAATTTCCCTTGATCGATAATAAATTTACGTATTATCATAAAAAAATACTTGGAGATACAAATTACATAATGGGTAAACAATTGATCTATCAACCGACAATAGCAAAATTTAGCAAACAATCAAAAAATGCATATTTTCAACACAAAAAAAAACAAACATAAAGGAACCTGGAGGTTTGCTGATGGTTCTTTCATTGACCAAATAGATCATGTGCCGACAGAGTGAGCTCAAGAAAAATGTATAACAAATATTACCCAAAAAATATTGGAGTGGAATTGGAGGAACGAGGAGGAAAGACAGACCTAAGGTGAGTTGGATGGGCAAGGTGCTGAAGGATATAAATGAACTAGGAATTAGCAGCTGGAGAAGAAAAGCCGCAGCTCATCGGGGTTCTACTACAACTTGTGTCCGATAACACGTGTATAAAAGTATTTATTTTATGATCATATAATTTAAATATTCGTCCAGTTTTGTATTATTTGCTTCGTGTTTCGACAAAATATTTACAGACCCCGAGTTTATGGAGACTGAAAAGCAAATAACGCAGAGAGCCAGCGTGGAAACTTTCGAGACTTGTTCATCTAGCACGTGTTATTAATTTTTATTTTCGGTATATTCGGAAACGGGGCTTCGAGTTTAATTAATTTCGTTAAAAGGGGGCTTTTGATACGGCGGCCTGTCCTTACCTGTATATTTCCTATTTCTCGTTGCTTTCGAGTAAAAAATAAACGCGGCCAAGAAGAAAACCGATGAAAGGGTTTCCGCTCTGCCGACTACGCCGGTGACCTGCGGAAAGAAAATTGGTTAGTCTCACTTGAAATGCACTCTGCCAATTACTTTAAGTGGACGGACCGCGGCATTCGACGTGTACCACAGGTCGACCTTTTCGTTAAAAAATCGGATTTGTTGCGCTTATTTTAGTTGATCGATCGGGTAACGAAATCTCGGCGTTTGGGTAAACCGAATTTCACTTGAAAGTCTTGGGTTCGGCAATTTTACTCACCCGGTTACGATTTTTTTTATAATAGCGAACACATTTTTTTGCAACTCAAATTTCCTTATTGCTATGTACGGGCTTATATGAGTATTTTTTTCGGGAGAACAGCACAGTTAATTTAGCACGGTGTATTTGCCTTACTAATGAAGCTATCGTATTGCTGCTGTGGTGACGCAAGGATGTTTTTTGTGACACGAAATGGGCATCAAACAGGAATGTCCAAACTCTTTTGGATTTTTAGGTGCATGATGATTTTGGAAACATTGCATTTTTATACATCCTTTGTAGCTCCGTTGTGCGTTAACTTATCGATAAGAAGAAGAATTTTATTATCCACATATCGTACAATAATAATACCAGCCTGTCAATATAAGGTAAAATACAAAAACAAAATGTAAAATGTAAACACTAACACGCAGTATAAAAATCGTACAGAAGGTGCAAGATAGTATGCTAAGATCTTCACGCATTTCAGTAAGCCAAGGATTTTAATTTAGTTTTTTTATTTTGTTGGAGTACTCGTCCACATTATAGAAACAATTTTCAATAAGCAACACTTTAATATTAGTTTCGGACACCTCAAAAACCATATGTCTGTACCTATCTGGCAGCATATTGTACAAGTTAAATGTTTAAAGAATTTTTGTCTGATGTAACAAGTCTGTGCTTTGGAACTCTTATAAGATTTTTTGCACGTGTCGGATAACTATGACACACAGCTTCAACTATATTAGTATGTTTGTGAATTTCTAAAAGATTGTGGAGAATATAGATACAGGGCAGTGTCACTATCTTATATTTTTTAAAATATGGAGTCCACTGTTTATTGTGCTTAGCCCCAGCAAGAATTCGTACAGCCCTTTTCTGTATCCTGAATATTTGAACAGCATTGACAGAGTTTCCCCATAATATTGTGCCATATGATACATAATACACTGTCATTAAGGCATTTTGGTCTAGACTCTTCTTAATTTTTCTGAGGGCGAATAAGCTGGAAGATAAGTTTCCGCTTAAGAGATAAAATATGATCTTTCCAGTCAAGTCTACAATTAAGCGTAATGTCAAGTAATTTAGCTAATTGTAATTGTTTTGAAACCAATTGTTCGCTTTGCACTCCAGGTCATTCCAATTCGGACAAGGTAAAACTGGCATCGTCCGCAAAAAAGGCACATTTGACATACCCCGAAAAACGGCATAGATCAGCAACATACACTATAAAAAATACAGGACCGAGTACGGACCCTTGGGGGACTCCACCGGAGACCTTCACCAAAGAGGATTTGTGTCTGTCATTGCCCACAAACTTTTCCTTGTCTAGTAAATAAGATTCTGTTAGCTTAAGGGTTCCGCAGCGAGATCCATACCTAAACAGCTTCTGTTTAAGAAGATCGTGCGAGATATGGTCAAAGGCCTTGCTAAGGTTACACATTCTCAACCCCACCCGATTTCCAGTCTCAAGCCCCACCACCACATCTACCACAACCTTACTTATCGCTTGTATGGTAGAGCGCCCCTCCCTAAATCCAAACTGCTCATTCCCAAAGATATCCTGCCGCTCAAAAAAAATTAACTATTTGTGGTTTTATAACCTTTTCAAATATCTTACCGATATGCGGCACTATGGATATGGGGCGATAGTCTCCGGGATTGTTAATATCACCGCTCTTAAGGATTGGAATAACTTTAGTAATTTTTAAAGTATCTGGAAAAATGCCATAATAAAAAAGAAGGTAAGTGGAATTACCAGAACATCTATAGGGTTTTTTAGTAAATTGACCTTGATTTCATAAGCGTCAGAGCAACTAGAGTTTTTTAGGCTGAGGATCGATGCTTTTACCTCTAATTAAGTAAAAAAATTAAATGGAAAAGAACTTTCATTAAAAGGGCTAATTAAACCACTTTGAAAGTCCGTATCAACATCAAGCAGCAGCAAGATATTATCGGCAATGGTCGAAAAATAATTGTTAAACTCGTCACTGGTGAAGTTTGAGTAATTGTTTTTTTTTATATAATTACGTTCATAGTTAATGAGTCTGTATAAGTCCTTGGGCCTATTATCGCAATTTAATATGTATTTGTTATAAGCTTGTTTTTTAGTTGTTTGTATCTCGTTTTTGTAATGCTTTTGGATGTTTGTGTGTATGTCCTCGTTTTTGAGATCAAACTTATAGTTTGAGCAGCCTGGACTCGATTTCTGGGTTGTTTGAGATCTTGCGTGAACCAGTTTACAGGCGATTTTTTAAACTGACATTTGTTTAGAGCGAAGTTTATTTCAATTAAGTCGTGGATGTTGTGCAACAAAAAATGTGACGTAAAATTGACGTCCTCAGAACTATAAAAGTTGTACCAGTCAAGGGACAAAAGAGAGCTTATAGTTTTTTCAACACCCGACCTAGTGAACAAACTTCTGTATCCGTTATTGACTGTTAGTAAAAATTTGGTGATATACTGGGCTAAATGATCAGAGAAACCTGGATTGATAAGCCCTGTTCCATAATGATGTCCACTAAGATTCGTAAGTATATTCTCAAGACAGTTCGAACTATCCGGCGTTATCCTAGTATGTCCAAAGATAGTAATTTTAAAACCAAAGCTGTCTAGGATACAGGAAAGTTCAGCTAGTGCATTCGAGTTTATATTGGATTTTATATTAAAGTCTCCCAGTATGATAATTGTTTTAAACTGTTCATCCATGTCACTGAGAAGGCGTGTAAACTTTTCGAAAAAGATGTCTAAGCTGCCATACTTATAAGACCTATACAGACAATTGACCAAAATGTGCTCTGTCACTATGTCAATAGCACAAAACTCTGTGTGCAACTCTTCGCAATACTCTGTTATATCTAACATTTTAGAGAAAATGCAGACTCCGCCCTTATTCTTGTGGCTCCTACAAAAATGAGATACAAGATTATATCCAGTAATATTTACAGAACTTAAAATACTTTAACAAGTTATATGATGTTCGCTTATGCTTGTTGGAAAAAAGTGGCCAAACCAAACGTTACGACTACAAAGTGAACAAACGATACAACGAAATAAAACAGTGCTCGGTAACACCCTGTAAAGCAACAGATTACCCGTGTGGAAAATCGTCCATGATACCGGTTAATTCAATAATGAAATTAATCGCTGAACGAAAACGAGCTTTAAAATACAATTTGTATAATACAATATATATGACGAGCGCAATATATCTGCATAATGGGATAAATAAATTATAAATATTACGAATAACGCACAAAAACTCTTATTACAGGCAATTATTCGCTGTTTCGCGTGCGTTCGATACATTTTCCCCAATTATTGCGAACATCGCTATCCTTTTTTTTCTAGCTAATCAAACCGTTAAACGTATAAACAAGTTGCCCGGGGCGATTCCAAAATCGTATTGGTTTAATCTCTGGCAGCTGATTGCTACCCCCCCTTTTTATCTGAATCGTCTGGATATTTTGGTCCCGTTTCAGAACGTTCAAAAAAGAAATTTTCACTTACCTTTGGGCGTCATTGATCGTGACGTTTGCGCGATTATCAGAAATTCGATTTCCAAGTCGACGGAAACACTTACTCTACTGTCAGTCGGAAATTAAACATTAAGCGATCGCAAACCGCATTTCTTTCCGTGCTTGAATTGATCTCTTTTCGAGATCCGAATGTAACTTACACCGCCATTTATTTATTCGAAAAAAAGAAGTACCTGCGCTTTTTTTTTCAGCTCGTTCTTTTGACAATTAAAGGATTGTAGATTACCGACCTTTGGGGTAACTATCGCAAACTCATACCAGCAACTAAGAAAATCTAGTTCCGATTCATCAAAAATTGAAAACAAGGCTTGAATCTAGATGGAGAGGTTTGTTAATTGTTGATTTTTATTTCACTACAGGCTATTTTTATGACAAAATAAAGATTATTATTATTTTTATGAAAAAAAAAACATTAACCAATAATTCTGTATTAAATGGCTACCAATGAAAAATTACTGATTCAAATTAAGTTCTCAAACTCATTTCCACTACTTTGAATTCATACTCGCGATATTTTGAAATGCACGAAGAACCTTGAACATTAACAACAAGATTAATCCAGTCCAACAGATAATAATCAAGTGGGTTTAAGTAAAACGACCCATTTACCGGGCCACCTCGATCTGTCCGCCAATTTTCATGTAACCAGTTTCTTACACCCTGCCCAATGCGAATTATTCAATTTTTTTTAATATTAAAATAACAAAATCCCACAGCATGCTTTGATAAAAATCGTTTTATTGTTAAGAATATATTTTTATTCTTAGTACTTGTGCGAAAAATACTTCCAATGCTCCCTATAAAAATCACAACTATTGTCAGAACTATTTTTATTGATAGAAATGTGAAAAGTGATACAATAATATAATAATATATAGGGGTTCTGTTACTAAAATCTTTCGATAAAAAAAAGTAGTGTAGGAATTTTTGTTTAAGCCGAGCAAAAAATATTTTTTATACCAAATAATGAATGATAAAAACTGTGATGTGTGAAAACCAAACACTGAAAATATGTAAACAAGAAAGTGACAAGGAATTGTTGTCAATATCGCCCTAAATTATCAATTTGGTAATGAAGAAGCCCTTCAGTGGGATTTTTAACAACCTCAATGGAGACAACCCCCGCTTTTAAAATTGAAACCGTGTCCAAAAAAAACTCGGCGTCCGTAATAACCCTTAACTTTTTTCTTCGGTATTAATTTCCTGTATTACCTCTTATAACTAAAGTTTTTGTAAACTTCGAAAATTAATCCGAAGAAAACTTCTAATTAGTCGACGGGAGTTCGACCCGGCCTTTTCGTCAGCGATTTCTGTCGGAATTAATTATAAAAAAAGGAAATAAAATGGCATCCGATGGAAAGTTTATATTGTATTCCCAAGGACTTGCTTGTTATGACTGTTGAGGAGGCCTGATAATTACTGCTGAAACTTTTGTTACTTCAAAACAAATACATACATAATTTTTAATCAGTCTTATTACGCTTTGTCAAAACGAAGTCATCAAAGTTGTTAAAATGTTATTCCTCGATGTTTTGTTCTATATTATTATTTATTATTTAATTAACTCGATCAATAAAAACGTTCGCATTTCCCTTCTTTTTTTTTTAAGTTTCCCACTAGTGACGTATATACTTGGTACAATTAGTTCCAAGCTGTTGAGCTGTTAGTGTTGTATATAAAATCTTAAGCTATTGTCGGAGTACAAACGAAAATTAAATTTCGGGTTAATTTACTTAAATTAGGCTCCACAATTAATACTATTCGGTATGCCGACCACACGGTCATCTTATGTGATAGTATCCAAGGCCTTCAAGAGCTGTTGGATTGCGTAAACACAGGACACAGGACGGAACATGGGTCTAAAAATGAATGTAGCTAAAGCAAAATTTATGGCATTCAGTCGCCAGCCACATGCCGATGCATCCCTACATATAGACCAGCGAAACATTGAGAGAGTTACCTATTACAGATATCTTGGATGCTATATCACAGAGCAACTAGATCCAGATAAAGAAATGAAATGCAGAATAGAAACAGCTCGCACAACGTTTATGAAAATGAAACTAACCATTCTTCTGCAATGATAACTTAAACCTCAAATTGCGCCAAAAAATGATCAAATGCTATATTCGGTCTGTGTTGTTATACGGTGCCAAGACTTGGACTCTCAAGGCCAATGCTATTAATCGCCTGGAAACATTCGAGATGTGGTTGCATAGAAGAATGTTCCGAATACCATGGACCGCCCTGCAGACCAACGAAGCAGTTTTAAATTATTTAACACAATCAAAATACGAAAAATATCGTTCCTGGGGCATGTTCTTAGAGGGTACCGCTACAAAATCCTTCAACTTATAGTGAAAGGCAAAATCGAAGGTCGCAGAAGTGTTGGAAGGAAACAAATGTCATGGCTAAAGAACATCCGCGATTGGACCGGAATACGCAGTGGCGAACAACTATTCAGATTAGCCGAAGACCGTGATCAACTCGCCAATGTGATTGCCAACGTTAGGGGGACCTGAGATGGCACCGAAAGAAGAAGAACGCTCCTCATATTAGATCGATCGCCACTTTCAAATAGAGATTTACGACTTTTACATTCTTAAGATTTTTCGAAATATGACATCGATCTAGTTGTATCTTTTACTTTTTTTTTTATAGTAGATCTAGACTGAGTAATATATATATATATATATATATATATATATATATATATATATATATATATATATATATATATATGTATATATAGTCTTTCTAGTAAATTTCATAAACTTTAAAAAAATGGCACTAAGCCTGATTTGGATGATCTCTTTTAAAGAACTTTTTTGTACAAAAGTTTACTTACATTTTAATTACGTAATTAATAAGAAAAACAAAAGTTATAATCCAATTACAAATTTGTCAAATTTTCCTGTTACATTCGAAATCTGTTGATAGAAATTTACCATTAAAAAATATAAAACTTGAAACGTCAAAAGTCAGTAGTTCATGCAAATCTTAAAAATGTGATGCGGAACTGAAATAAGTAAGAGTAATAGAATTTGAATTGTTAAAAAATTGGTTGGCGAAAAACAAGTTACAAAAATTCCAAAGATATTTGTTGGATTTCAAACAGGCAAAATTAAATAAACACATACGATAAAATGATAAAAATGCTAACCGCAAAAGAAAGATGATGAACGAACAACCATAACCACGAACTATGAATCGCACAGTTGTTAAAGAATCTTTATTTATGCCGCTATAAGATAATCTCAACGCCGGTAATGAATTAAGCTAGTAAAAGAAAAAACTGACTTTTTTGATAGAATGAACCTATTTTAAAAATTATTAACGTAATATATATTTCTTTTACAAAAAAATATAAGCGATATCTCAAATTTTCCCGAAAAAAAAACACATTTTAATAATAATATTGCTTTGATTTTAAAATTACTGTTTAAACATAAAATCCCCTTGAATGCGCCGTTAATAGGTGAATTCACTTGACCTTTCAATGCACTTTGTTGCCATTCAGTAACTTAGCTAATTCAAAGACCGGCCAGGTCAAGCAATATGAAATAATCTGATAGATCCACTTGTATACAAACCTTGTGAATTATACTTCGAGGAACCTTCCCGATGCGGAACTTTTAGTCGTCAGATTACTTTTGTAGACGGGGTCAATTGTCTATGAAATGCATACACTCTTGTGCTTGTAATGTATTAATTTAGCGAAATTTTGTTAATGCCGGAAAAGTTATTTATTTCCTTTTGTTGCCTTTCCGAAACTGCATTTTGGAGCGTTGCAAAATTGTATTTAAGCTTTTGTACAATGGCTTCAAATAGAGTTTCCATTAAGAAAAAACTCTAAATGATAATTTGACGATTTGTTTGTTTGTTCGTATTTGTCAAATCCCAATAAAATGGCTTTGAAGAAAACATAAAAAGGGAGCGACAAAAAAAAATAGAAAATGAGGATGAGAAAGAATAAATCTATTACCATAGAAATATCACCTGGATAGGTAAGCCTTTATTTGTAAAAAAAAGGATTTTTACTCCAGTTCCACTTTGCCTGGCACAATTTTAGAAACAATTTCTACTGCATTTATCGGTAGTAACTGCTTGGTTCAATAAGAAAAAATGGACAATATCTGGATAACGAATTAACAGAAACTATATGTAAAAGTGGGCAGCAGCTAAATCGCGCGAAAACGCCCTCTCAGTCGATTCAACATATGCCACAAAAGGAGGTTGGAAAGGTTGAATTGGACATTGCTTATGCAAAGACCCGAGTAGCAAGGGATTTACACTCAGCATGCGAAAAAATGTAACTGTTAGCGTTTTTATACTCAGCATTAGCCCTAGGAATGCATATAGTAGATTTTTCCAGTTTACAACTGAGGAACTGCATTAAAATAAAATTAAAATGGTGTTTTTTCTCTCTCTTTTCTCCATATAAATCGAAAAATATCCAAGACATCTGAACGGCGTTACCTTCCCTAGCCAAAATGACATTTCGACCGTCCTCTTCCTAGTCTAGCGCACGTAAGGTTTGCTCTCCCGTTCCCCGTTTTGTCATTATATCCGACTTAAAAGTAATCATCGTTTCGCAGGAAATTCAAATCCGTATTCCCGACGTCAAACATAATATTCCCTTTAAGCACAACGCGCTAAACAATGATTAAACTGGCGCAAAACTTACCGCCTCCGTATGTACTGGATGTACGGCGAACAACATGGCTGCCACGAAACTTGACAGTTCCGGCAAAAACATCGAGCACATCCTGAAAGTTAAAGAAACCGCGCTTAATGCTAGACGATAATATAATAGGAGTGGAAATATAAGATAATTCCTTAAAGGAAGGATTAAGGCGAAGTTTAGGCGAGACTTTAGCTAAGCGTAGCGCGCGGAAACGCTGAAAGCATTTTTGGCGAGGATGCTTCTCTTTGTGTCAACTTTGAAAGAATGCGGGATGATGCTTTGTCGGTCCCAGATTTTCGACTTGGCGTCCGCGAATATTTACCTATTCTGCAGTTTTAAATAAAAAATCGGCCAAAATACTGACTTTTGGATTTTCAGTGAGTTTAAAAATGACAAAGTATGAATAGTGAATAGAGTAGCCATTATTAATTCCTCTGAATAGCGCTGCCATTGTGAAAGCGTCAAAAAAAGAAAAATTGGGAATATAAAATTTAACAAATAAACATTATGGTCTGTTCATAGATATAAGAAAGTGATCAGTTGCTTTTGAGTGGGATTATCCAGGGGTGGTCATTAACATACAATGCAACAAGATTATTACCTAAAGTTTCGGAATTTAAATTCATGTAAAATTGTGGTCCGTAATAGAAAATAATTTTATACCTACCTGTGTTTAACCTGTGTTTAATATTCTTTGGGTATACTACTTAGTTTAAGTTTATTAGTAATCATTCTTATTTCGTGTGTAATACAGCGTGTGTTGAATCGTGTGCGAATTATGCAAAATATGTGCGAGTCTAGTGTATCTCAGGAGATGCTCCAGCCCAACTGTAGAAAACACTATTCTATTGAGACTAAGGAAGTAATAAACAATGTTTATTAGACTTACATTGAACGTGGTGTCAGCAAGCAAACATCTTTACAAGAAACGGCCACATTGACGAAAATTCCAACATCAACTGTATGGAAAATTATGAATAATCCCATTTCAGCGAGAAAAAAAAGAAGCGAGTGAAGATGAAAGTGATCAAGATATAATACGGCGTAAAATTTACCAGTTATACGAGGAACAAAGCTTGCCTGCATTAGATATCTTAATTAATTAAATGTGGCAGAACTACCTTATGGAAGTGTATTCAACGCATGGGTTTTAGATTAAAAAAAATTGACAAAATTCAAGTTTTAATGGAATCTTTTAGAATTCGGAAATGGCGACTGGAATATCTAGAAAAAATAAAATGTCCAGAGAACAACAATTATTTACTTGGATGAAACCTGGTTCGGCACTTATGATACTCCGGAAAAGGGTTGGGTTGACTCAATTGATAAGTGTAAAACAAACGCGTCATCAAAAAGAGGTAAAAGAATAACTATTTTGCATGCTGTCTCCGTCTGCGAAAAATATTAAAGATTCTTTTCAGGATTACCATGAAGGCACCACCGCTGATTTATTTGAAAGTTGGTTTAAAAACAAACTAGTTCCTAACAAACAAACCCCTTCCTCATGTGACACAAAAGCAATAATCCAAAATTTACATGTATAATAACGACATTTATTTTCACGAAGATTATACCAAAAAGCAATTAATTGAGGTTCTACAAAGCTTGAACCTACAAAAGGAATACGTCTGTGATAATTATGCAAAAAATCTAGGGCATACAGTTTTAAGGCTTCCACGTTACCATTGTATATCTAATCCTATTGAACATGTTTGGCACCAACTGAAATCTGCCATTCGTCCTAACAATGTTTTTCCCCGTGTTAACTCCAATGTCCTCAAACTTATAGAAACCGAACTTTTTAACATCCCTCCACAAAGTTGGGCAAATTCTGTTAAACATATAGAGAAAGCAGAACAATCGTATATCCATATTGCAAATAATATAGAACAAATAATAATTAGAACACGCGATGATAGCGATACTGATATATTATGTGAATAATTTTAAGTAATTTAAGTAGGTAATAAAATATAATTTGTAATTTTATTTTTAAACATAAATACATACATAAATAAATAAATATTGTTTAGTATCTTTCCTAACAAAACGCGAAATAATTAAATTTTAAGCAAAGTACGGAACTGTTCGGCCATATTTCATTCTTACAGCTTGCCCGGGTCTTTCCTTAATTCGTATCAGTTAGTCACTTTCTTATATCTATGAACACACTTTACCCGAGGATAAACTTTTATACAGTGTGTCCCACTTAACAACTGTACACCCTTGTAGAATCTTTGATTATGGTTTAATTTTGATTTTTTTTGTTGGATAGATCTCTCAAAAAGGCACTTAAATCTTATGTTTCTTATTACATCAACCTGAAGTCATAGCCAATTAGGACAAATTTTTTATGTCAATTATCCAAAAAAGTTATTAAGGATTTCTTTAAGAATAAGTGTCAACGAATTCTTATTCGGGACTACAAAAAACCTAACTATACCAATTTCCAGCAAGTTCAAAAACAGGGTGCTCGAAATACCGCGGGCGCCTCGCTAAAGCATTACTCCTGTAGAGTGTTTGTTCTCATGGCTCCATTTTGATATTTCTTTTTTTGTAGGATAGATTTCAGAGACACTGGCGATTTTCTTAAAATTGGATTTGATTGGGCAGGATTAGATATGAACTAAAGAAACTTTCCAAGACTGTATTTTTTTAATTAAAAAGAATTTTTAATTCTCATCTACTAATGAAAATAACAGAAACATCAGAATTGATTGGCGTCGTCCTTTGTAAAACCAAGTTTGCCATGGAGAGGCGAATATTCGAGAGTAAAATTCACTAGCTAATTTATATTTTAATTTTGTTTTGAAAATGGGAGAAAAAGTGGTAAATGTGCGCGATCTTAACACATTAGTGCCCGTTGACGTATTAATACGTTTTTTTCATCCAAAATCTTGTAGCCGTTGACGTAGTAATACGTCATTAATTGTGACAAATCTAGGTGCCGTGGACGTAGTGGTACGTTATTTTTGGTTGTAAATCTAGGCGCCGTTGACGTAGTAGTACGTTTTTTGTTGTCATAGTAAATGTCACATTATAACTGATAATTTAAGAGTTAGCTTGTGTTCTGCAATAATTAACTTACGAATTGACTGATTAATTAAGTAATTTATATATTAATTTAATTGTTTGCCCTGCGATATCATGGAAGAAGACGACTTTGAATTAATTAATAAATGTAATGAGGTATGTGCCGATATATTATCTGAGTTTGAAAATGATGAAGAATGTAACAGCGACGATACAGATTTAGCAGAAAGTAGCAGAAAAAGAAATGTTTTGCCAATTATAAGTGAATCTGAAAGCAGCGATTCAGAAGACACGATATTGGAAAACGAACAGAACTGTTCAACATCAAATTGGTCCCAAATCGATAACGATATTACAGTAAACCCATTTTTGGGAAATTCTGGGGTTAAAGTGTTCCCAAGAAATGCAGAAAATATTTCAGACGTGGTGGATTTGTTTATAGATGATGATTTTTTTCAATTATTAGTAACAGAGACAAATAGATATTATATGCAAAACATGCATAAATATAAACGTGTAAAAAGCACAAAGCAGTGGCGAGATACCACGATAACAGAAATCAAGAAATTTTTAGCTTTGAATATATTGATGGGACAAGTAAAAAAAAATAATGTTAACGATTATTGGACTACTGATCCGTACATGGAAACACCAATTTTTGGTAAAATCATGACTAGAAATAGATTCAGGCAAATACTACAATCACTACATTTTTGCGATAATAGTGCAATCCCTGATGACGCAAGTCGACTTGTTAAAGTAGAATCAATAATGCAATACTTTATAGAGAAGTTTGATAAAGTCTATAAACCAAAACAAAATCTATCGTTGGATGAAGCCATGATTCCTTGCAGAGGTAGAGTAAGTTTCCGAGTGTACAACCCAGGAAAGATTACAAAGTATGGGTTATTAGTGAGAATGTTGTGTGAATCCGACACTGGATATATATGCAAATTTAAATTATATAGTGGCAATGGAGAAACATTGCAAAACCTGGTCGTAAACCTTTTAGATGGTTATGGAAATATTTGGCACCATGTTTACATGGACAATTACTACAACAGTGTTCAGTTAGCACAGAAGTTACTCTACAAAAAGATAAGAATTTGTGGAACTATAAGAGAGAACCGCGGGCTACCACACGATCTAAAAAAAATTACTTTAAAACAAGGACAACACAACTTCCGTAGAAAAGGTGAAATTCTAATACATATTTGGAAAGATAAAAGAGTTGTAAGAATGATTTCAACAATACACCAGGCTCGAATGATACAAACCCAGAAAATAAATCGAAAAACTGGCGATCTGATACAAAAACCAGAAACAATTTTGGAATATAATAAGTACATGAAGGGAGTTGATATAGCAGACCAATACCTTGCTTATAATCCTATTATAAGAAAAACTGTGAAATGGACAAAGAAGGCTTTTATGTTCATATTAAATACTGCACTGTTCAATTCATTTGTTGTCTTCAAGGTTCTGAATCCAGGAAAAAAAATAAAATTTTCATCTTTTTTGAAAAATATTGCGCAAAACTGGATTGAAAAAGGATATGTTCATTCAGAGAGTCCAGGAAATGTATCCAAGAGAGTTTCTCGCGAAGATGCACCAATGAGACTTTCTGCAGACATGAGACAACATAAAATTGTGAAAATTACTAGTTCAGGCAATAAGAAGTTTCCTCAAAAGCGCTGCAGAGTTTGCAAAAAAAACGGAAAAAGGAAGGAAACCTGTTTCATGTGCTCATATTGTGTAATTCCTTTATGTATGGGAAAATGTTTTGAGGATTATCACACAAAAAAAAATTATTAAATCTAAATAATAAATCAATATATAATAAAAATAATTTTTGTTGGTATTTTTTTCTTGTTTTTTTTAAGATTAAATATTTTAAAATCTATTAATCGAAACACTGCACAGAACTATATTTCTATCCATCTTAGCAACCGAGTGAACTATTTTATCATACTACAAAAACCTAAAATTGAGAAATATGTAGCATTGAAATCAAATAGCCCTAATATTATATCCTACTTTAAAATAAAA